TTGTGGTTTATATGCACTCTGAAGAACTGAAGGCTGCATCCCAGCTGCAGCCACCTGCCCCCCAGCTGCAGCCACCTGCCCCGCTGCCTGCTGCTGACACCTAAACATCCTGCTGTCACCACAAACGCTCCATTCTCTGTTTGCGGACCCCCACGTGCTCCATCCCCTCGCTGCCTACAGCGCTTGAAGCAACACAACCGCTGCCACCAATGATTAAAAATAGCTCTCCAAGAGCAGAGTTCCCCTTCACTTCCACACAAAGGCCCTGATAGATGCCGGGTTGCACAGCGGATGTGTCTGCCTCTCCTCACACAAGGGGGAGGAAAACACTGCTAAAAGCAGATCCATCCATTCAGGGGGCTATGCGGTGTATCACAGTTGTGATCTCGTACACTGTGTCATTAATTGGTCTGAAGGGACTGCCAAACAAAGCCTCCATCTGAGCCTTTATGGTTTGGCTTCTGTAATATTATAGAAGAAGCTGAAAATGCCTCACATGCTGATATGTCTCCTGAGGAAAATGCGTTGGGAACAGCAGGCTCTGAAATGCACTACAGGTTTGTTTTTGTTGTGGATTATTCATTCAGAGTGAATTCATCTCATTTTCCTGTAAGTGTCGTGACTGTGCACAACACACGGCTATAACCGTATATATATTCAGCAGCTTAGACACATGAAAGCCCCGAGCGGGGCCACAAACCGATGCTAATGACCTCCACTGTGGGTGCTTAGGGTTAGCTCCTAATCTAATTACAGCATCTGCCCGGCTACACATCAGGCTTTGACATTTTCCTGCACCCCTTCCCTGGGACTGTTGTGAAGCTTTCTAACGAAAGCGAGGAAGCGCCTTTCATCATGCCACTCCAATCCTGTTACTGTTAACCAGCTTTTTACTGCCCGGTGATCAAAAAGATAACTGACCCTTTTCTGCATCTGACATCCCTTTTTTTTATTTATCTCTTTCAGTGCGGCAAAGGAGCAGAAAACTTTGACAAGTTTTTCACGCGTACCCAACCCGTCCTCACCCCTCCGGACCAGCTGGTCATTGCCAACATCGACCAGGGCGAGTTCGCCGGCTTTTCCTACATCAACCCTCAGTTCCTCCATCCATCCCTGCACAGCGTGGTATGAGGAGAGAGAGAACGGAGATTTTAAAGAAGGAAAACCACACAAAAAAAGAATGACTGTCACTGTATACAGGTTCTTTCCGGTCTCAACCAAACACCCCGCTGTCAACAGACTCGATTCATCCTCCGCAGTGCTCCGTCTACTAGCTATCAACACCCGCATCGAGAAATGACCGAGGAGAGAGGAGCAAAGTGTGAAAACCATATATGTACAATCTAAAGAGAATCGCTTTCCCAAACATCTCACAGTATGTTCTTTTATTCTAACTCTCTGCCTCTTTTTCCAGACCCGCAGCCTTTACCTTGTGAACAAATATGTGTCAGTATCAGTTACTATCTCTTTAGGTATTTAATCAGTTTTCCAGCTCATCCCACCTCTCATGCTTCCCCCATGTCACCACACAAAGAGCTGCAATGCACAACAAATACGGAACCTATTTTTTCTGCTCTGTCCCGGCTTTATCTACTTCTGAACTGCTACATGTGTAAATTATATTTATATACTAAAAGAAACAAACAAAAAAAGAGGTAGTATACTGTGTGCCAAAGTAGAAGTGGAATAACACATTTCTATTGCTGTCCTTGTAGTGTTTTTTTCTCCACTCTTCCTCCTCTGGCCTTTTTTTCCCAGTGAAAAAAAATAACCGAAACCCTTAAACAGGGGCTGTTTGTATCTGTTGTTTTGTAGCTCATGTAAAACTACAGTATACCTAACCTGACATGGAGAAGCTGAATCAAACTGTGCTACAGTTACAAACTGTCTAGGTTTTTTCAATGCAACAGATGTTGCCTACAGTGGCTATAGGGTCAGAAAAGTGTGGCTAAAGAGTCACAGTGTTTTGAATGATAACGATGCTATTTTCCATATGCACAAAGCAAATCTCTGTTGCATGCTTATTTTCTGACTCTGTACGAGCAGTAGACTCTAGGATGCATTACACGTCTGGTATCATTGTAAAGTTTAGTATTACGATATAAACAGCGTTGATATATAACTGTCGTACGTTTTCTTCTAAAGAGAGGGTCCTAATTGGGAAAAACAAAAAAAGGGGGTTTGTCCCTGTTTTAATGTTCTGTTTAAAAGACAGCTTTTACGTTCAGAGCGACGTCTAACCCCTCTGTCGTGAGTCGACCGTGTTTTTGTTTTATTTATTCGTTTCTGGGGGGTCTTTTATGTAAATATGTTTCGAAGCGACGAGCTACTTGCAGATTTTATACTACGAACTGAATGTGCTTTTATTACCGTAGACGGTTCGGACATTTCTATGTTTAGATTAGCCCTAAGAAGAGATATATAACATTTGGCTGAATCTTTGGTAGCTTTGGTATCAGCAAACCTTGTTATATGTATTTCCACTACTTATCCATTGTTTTCTACTCAGTGTCATATAGAGAATATGCAGCACTTACTGTGCGTGGAACTGTTGAATGCCCTCTTGCCTTGGTCGTCTCAGGGCTGACTCCTTATGTAACTAAACCACGTTAATGCTAATGAGGATTTCAGAGCCCTTCCTGCGGGGCCGAAATACGTCCATTCTTTATATATATCGTGTGTGCATGCGTGAGGCGAGGCCTGATCTAAGCATGAGAACGACCCCTTGCATGAAATACAGAGATGCCTGGTGTGGAGCATGAAGTTTCCCACCTTACCGCGCAGAATTAGACAAACCCCCACCATCCCAGTCCAAGCAGCATTGTGCGCTTTCATGTCTCTTCCCAGTTTCGCTGTCATGTAGCCGGACCTGTTTGGCTAAAATGCTGAAATATAAGCAGACAAATGTGTGTAAATTGCTTCTAATGGCTTTTTGTTTACCGGTGCCAAACAGTCTTTTTTTGATTTCAGTCAGGTGCGTCAAGCAGTTTGTTTATTTCTGTATTTCTTTGGGGTTTTTTGTTTTGTTTTTTTTTTGTTTGTGTTTTAATTACCAATATGTACAAATTAAAACAGTGAATCTTCAAAATGAACTGCCAAATTAAGGAAGACTTTTTACCACAGCTTTTAAGCCCTGCAGCTGTCACATATATCAGGACCAAAATGAGATCTCTACGTTTAATCTGTGTGTTTACATGTCTCACATTGAGAATCTGAACTGAAAGAGGGATTTAAAAACAAAAACAACCCCTTAACAGAGATCATCATAAGTTGGGCTAGTCAGGGTACAGAACCACTACAGGCTACAGTTAGAGCCACAGGGATGTTTGTATGTTTCCTTTCACTGCCCTTGCTTTTTGTTAACCTGATTCTTCTCGTTCCTCTGTTATTTGTGGTATGACGGATACTGTGCATAAATAAAGTATGAAAATGAAAATATTCCTTCGCTCTTTTTCATTGTGGACTTTTTCTTCTAACTCTGTATCGTAGCTCTTAGTGGTCACGTGTTAATCTGTGTTTACATCATGTCACATGTCAACGGCACACGCAGGCTTTCTCTTGCTTTGAAGGAGGGTAATTTGACCTACTGGATATCATTCATTTGTTTTCTTACCTTAGGTTTAGATTTTATGGTTTAAGTTCTCCTTTGCCAGAGTTAATAGCGGTGGCATACCACAGGCCTACACTCGGGCAGTGTGACTCACAGCTCAAGTTATTGCAGTAAATTTCCTGGTTCTCACTTTTGCCTCATAGTATTTTTGTCTCACGCTGAAATGCCTAAAGTAGCAAGCGCATGAATGACATTATGCCGCATTGTTTTCACATCGCTGTGTGTTTTGTACACACTGTTCCCCAAGGCCTCGAATACTGTTGTGAAGTTTGAAGATGATCCATAAAAAACGATATCATAAAATCTGTGGTCACTAGACTGCTAACAAAGAGGCAGAACAAAAAACTGAACCAACTAGTGCCACTGGCGCTTTTATTGGGTTCATCTGGACACTGTAAATATCTAATCAGCCCATCATAGGGCAGCACGTTTAGACTTATAGACATTGCAGTGCTCTGAAAAAAAAAATCCCTGTTGATGCCAGAGGTCAGAGGAGAACTGACAGTCTGATTTGAGCTGACAAGAAGCTAACAGTAACTCAGATAACCAGTTGTTAGAACCAAGGTATGCAGGAGAGCATCTCTGAACGCACAACGCGTCGAAACTTGAAGCGGAGGGAGTACAGCAGCTGAAGATAGCAACAAGTGCCACTCCTGTCAGCAAAGAACAGGAAACGGGGTGTATAATTCACATGGCCTCATCAGAACTGAACAATAGAAGACTGGAAAAATGGTGCCTGGTTTGATGAGTCTGGATTTCTGCTTGTCAAAGTCCGAAGCTATAGGGTCAGAATTTAGAGTAAACAACATGAAATGTATTACATGTCATGTATCTATAGTTCAGCCTGCTTGTGAAATAATGTGGCGGATACTTTTTAGCACCAAATTTTTGGCACCAACTGAGTACTTTAAACTTTAAACACGCAGCCTACCTGAGTACAGATGCGTCCGTTTATGACCACAGTGTACACATCCTCCGTGCAGCTATTGAAGTGGCCAGAGAGTGTATATGAATCACAGAGACCATTTTACAGCAGAACAAACGACTAGTTGTTCGAAAAATGTGAGAATATAATCAGGGTAGTTTTTCCATCCCTGATTGGAGGTGTGTTTTCTTTAAGACGTGACCATAAATGGATAAAATGCTAGTTTATAATATACAACATGGATCTGTAAAGAATTTCATTACAGAACATAAACTACTCTATCCTTTTCTGATTGGAGCTGTCCTTGGTCCTGATAGAAACAGAGTGAGTTTATGTAAAGGACATCACACTGACTTAAATTCACTGATTCATCGCAGAGAGTTAATCAAAGCTTTGACCAGTTGGCTCATTAGCAGTGGAGTGGACTCGCTTTGATAGCAGGTCTCTCTCTCTCCACAACATCAACAATCCCCCTCTCTCTCTCTCTGAAAGCACGCAGCAGAGAGCGGGACCAGCGGTCCGTCTCAGTTTATCTCACGGACTGTGTCTGCAATGCGTTATCTCTCTACCCAAAGATTACACAGTTTTCCGAACGAATTCGTGACCGACTCGACGGAGCAACGCCGATCTTCCTCCGTAAGTCAGACCTTCAGCGGGCAAACTGCAGGAGTGAGGTTTTAATTCACAACTCTGGGCGCAATCTCTGCTCCGAGTGCAGGAAGAGCCAGACGGATCATAAACAGGTGCGTGTGATAAAGTCTCTCTCTCTCTTTTTAAATTAATCAACAGCTTTAATCTAAAATGGTCAACTATTTTTAATCCTTGATTCCAGTTACCTGCAATGATCTGTTTCATTTGAGTATTGAGTTGGAGTCTAATATTCCTACACAAGTCTATGCACACAGTACTCCTTAGCTCACTATGTACCCATATCTTAGCTGTTTACTTCATTGTGACAACATGTTTGGTTTTAATAGGAGTAACAATGAAACTGTGCTTATAACCTTCATGGTCAGAGTTCAATCTTGGATAAGAAGAGACGTTTGAGGACGCTTAGTGTTGATTGTGGATGAAAGAGCTCCTTCATGTTTGATAAGTGAAGTGTGAATATTGTGCACTGACATGTTATGGAGCGATAATGCTAAAAGGAGTGTTTTTTCCATCCCTCTAAAGGAATTTAACCTGTGAAGTAATGACAGATTATAATAGTCATGTAGAAACCCAGTATGTTTTTTTATTACATTATATTTGTACAATAATCTTTTCCTTTATTACTATTTCAGAAAGATATAACTGCATATTTGAAGAATTCCAGTGTCCACTTATTGTTTACTCACCTTTTTGTTTGTTTGTTTGTTTTTAAAAAATGTGACCTATAGTGAAGCAGATTTTGCACAAATATCTTGATTTCTATTTCTACTTAAAATAATGCTGATTGCAGGTGTACTGGTGGTCTCTGTGTTTTCAATCCTGACCGTGTAATTGCAGTGTTCCCGGTTTGTGTATTGATCCTTTAATATCTGTCAGCACGCTGCTGTCACTAAGTAATAAAATACGTGATTAAATGCTCTGGATGGTACTGGATAACAGTCTGACTTGTGATATATGAATATTGGCTGTTTCAGAGTAAATGAGGTGACCTTGTTGGGGGATGATTTAGATGATATGGAGGGTGTTTCTACTGATAAAATGTGATCTCTTAAAGAGCAGACACTGGCTTTTTTAGCAGCTTAAACTCTAGTTGCTCGAGGGGCAACAAAAAGAAGTCTTTATGCTGATTAATGTGCTTGTAGAGGGAAAATATTCCTATTTATGCAAAACTGTTTCATAAATATGCTGTGAATTAGCTACTATTTAGCCCCCTTTAATATCTGTCCTCTACTTGATCCTTCCCCCTTATCACCACCCGGAGATTATTCACATGGGGTTCCCAAATGGGATGTAAATCATCACCTTGTCTCTTCAGATGATGTCTCATTATGTTATCAGTCGGCCAGATCCCAGTGCTGGCTTGCACTGTTGGATTCATGGCCGTAAAATGTCAGAAGCTCGTCTTGGATTTCAGATAAAGTGACCGTTTGTATTCATAGTAGCAGACTGCGACACATTTAATGTACCTCTGCCTGGAGGCTCAAACAGGTTTTATTGAATCACACTTCATTTTCCTTTTTGTGGGAGGTTGGATAGTTAATTCTCGTGACTGAATTAGTATTTTCTGTGATAATGAAACTTGGAGTCAAATGTAAAAAGAAAAAAAATGCTACAATGTTTTTCCACTCTTTCTCTATTTTGATTTCTCTCTGAAAGTGTCAAGGGGCACACAGCGACACACCTCAAGCACCATCACAGTTTCTGTAATGGAAACCTCTTTGTTGAAGTTTGTATTTACATAAATATGCAAAGATTTTAGAAGTTATGGTGGTGTTTTATGAATCTGAACATTGCTCTTTAATGGAATGAATTGAGACTGGGAAAGCTGCCAGACTGATGAAATATAAACATTAACTCCATCATGAACCGCGTACTCTTTATTTAAGGAAGCTTGTTTCTGCCAATAAAATAACTCAAAATTTGAAGCTATGAGTCCCACAATACTGACTCTCTCAAACTTTCAGTTTACTTCTGAGTAATTTGAAATTTCATGATATCTAACTCAACTTAACTCAACTCAACTCCAGATTTTGTGATATTAGCCTGAAATTTTTACTCATAAACAGCAAAAACAATAAACAAATACATAGATAAACAAATAATACAACCAGCACATCCTGAAGTGTGCAGTTACCTTAGCTTAGCACAAATATTGGGGGGGGGAGATGAATAACTAGCTTGTTTCCATCCAGGTGTTAAACATATAGTAATCACAAAGCGCTGTTAAACAAAACAAGTAAAAACTAGGAATATGCACAATGAACAATGAAAAGAATATTAAAACACAGCTGCTAGCAACACAAAACCATGTTAAAAACATGCTAAACTCAGACGGTAAAACAATAATACCAAAGGAAACTCAACAAATCCACAAAGTTAGCTAAACATAGCTGGCATTGTAGACTGCGTCAAAGTCCTGATGTTACAGACTGAGAGACTGTGTCCTCCCCCAGTCTTCAGTCTTATACTAGCTTCAGCTAAATGCAGCTAGCTGCAAACAAGGCAGTGAGCGGCAGTCTGTTTATCAAGAAGTTGAGATAAATAGTCTGGAACAAGCTAATTTTCATAAACAGATACATGAATTACAAAATAGTGGAAGGCAGATTTTGTTGCTTGTAGCCAGTCACAGGAGCTGATTTCCCAGTTTCTTTATGCTAAGCTAATTAGGTTCATGCTAATAATAGTATTCTCAACCTTTAACCCTGTAAGAGTTTTTGAGACCTCTACATTATAAAAAAAACAAACAAACAAAAACAAAACCCACAAACAGAACCCTAAATAAATTGCACAATATATATATTTTAAGCAGTAGATTACAAAAGAAAAAAAATGCTAGTTAAAATATAACTCAAATTAAAACTCATATATGCAAATTAATAATTATAATTAATGACCACTTGTTTTTATTTGTCAGAAGGTTCAATAAATAGAATTTTCTGGAAATTATTTTGTGGTTCAGGCTTTTTAGGGTTTTTTTGTCATAATTGTGTAAATAACATTTTGAATTTTGTTAAAAATAAATAAAAATTCACATTTTATATGTCACAGGATTTTTTTTAAACTTTTGTTTGGTCGTAGCTTTTAGAGGTTATAGTTTGTTTTTTTCTTAGTGTTTCTTTTCTTAACGTTTTTTTTTATTTTTTATTATTATTTTTATTTTAAGCATCTTTTTTGGTGGTTTCTGTTTCCAGCTTCTTTTAAAGTGCCACATCCATCTCCCTTTTTCTCCTCCAGCTTGCTGCTTGGATTATTCTGTATTTTACACCGGCTGCTGGAGCTCACCCTGCTGTGGCCATGAGTGCATGCAGCAGGAAGGCCTTGACTTTGCTGAGCAGTGTCTTTGCAATCAGTGGCCTGGGGCTGCTGGGAGTGGCAGTGAGCACCGACTACTGGCTCTACCTGGAGGAGGGAGTCATTATGCCTCTGAACCAGAGCACTGACATCAAGACCTCGTTGCACTCTGGCCTCTGGAGAGTCTGCTTTCTGGCTGGTTAGTGACTAGATTTTAAAAATTAAGGAAATATGTGGGTACGGCTATCTCTGTGCTCCTGAAATTTGTCAGTTAGTCATGGATGAATCAAAAGTGTAGAACAGATAACGCCACTGGATTTTACTCTCTCACATTCAAGATCTTCATCATCTCTACAGTAAAGGTGGCGACAGCAGCAAGCTGTCACAGTGATGTATCATCATGTAAACCACCAGCATTCATATTCACACACATTCACAATTACTTCATCACTGTGTGTGTGAGTGGAAAAGAGAGCTTGTGAGTAAGTGTCGAGTACAAGTAAAAGTGATAAAAAGAGCAATGAGGAGACAGAGGATGAGTCCTCGTGTCTGTGTGACGTTGTCCTGCACAACGTCATGACTGTGTAGCATTTTAGAGCATTATCAAGCTAAAAAAGGCCATTAGGGAATATCACTGCAGTGAAGTAGTGGATATGTTCTACTTATGCGTGACTATCAAGGTCAGAGCTGCAGTGTACTGTGTGTTCTGCACTGTGATCAATTTTCATCAGGTTATGCTACTGTCGCTCCTCTTTGGGAATCAGAACATGCAAAAACTGACAATTTTGGACAAAGTCACTCCAATCTTGACGCTAGTGAAGGTTTGAATCTTGTTATCTTGTTACAGCTGTCACTGTAACAAGATAACAAGATAGCCATGTTGTTCAAAAACATCAGATAATCTTTTGTACCATCAGCTGTAGCTGTCCAACCTTCTCGTGTCCTCTTTTGGTCCCTCTCTATGTTAGTAACACTGCTTTTACTCTTCGTGACAGACATGTGAAATTATAGAACAGGGTTACATAATGTGTAAAAGTACCCTAACCTCTGCTGATGCAGTACCTACAGCATTCCAGGTCTCCTCTGGCATTAACATCAGCACAAAAGCTGTGCACCGGGAGCTTCACGGCATGGGTTTCCATGGCTGAGCAGCTTCTGTATTTGGGATGGCTCAGTACTTTTGTCCATATATTTTGTCTAGAATCATCTGGGTAGTTTGTGTATTCACAGCATTTTGTAAATGTCCGTATTACCCTATGTGAGTCCCAAGACTCCACAGTGAGAAGGTCTAAGTGAGTACAGTGGAAAATAAGTAGCACAATAAGACAAAACAACACATTCCCACATACAGACACTCGGTCATCACAGGAACGACTAGAGGAACTAGTTCCTGTCTCAAAACTACCTTTGGTTACAATGGATAAGTGTCCCACGACCAAGCTATTATTTTAAAGCTTGTTTTCATTTAAATGGTCACATTCACATAAAGAAAGCATGCACAGAATCACCAAACAAATCTGCTCAAAAACAAACAAACAAACAAAAAATATTTCACAAGTTTGACAATTTTGCCCCAAAATATGTTTTAAAAGGGTTTTTTCCCCTTATGAGGTAGACTTCTACTACACAACATTATAAGTTCATTTACAGCTCATTTATGAAATTTCTGATCATCCAAGAGCAGCTGAGCAAACATCATTCAGCAAAAATAATGAGTAGAGATCCCTGCCACCACATCTAAAACTGTTGTGAGCCTGTGTCAGTATGTGTCATATGATTGTCACTAAGTCAGTTATATGGGGCAGGAATTCTCCCACAGATTTCTATTTAGGACTCTTTGGCTGCCATGTGTCTCTCAAAATGCCTCTGCCCACATGCCGACCTCTTCTCTGGCTGTTTCAGCCTTTTGCTTCTGTTCTCACTGATTGTTAAACCTTCTTTAAGCTCCACTTTAATTCTAGTCATTTAAATAACTGACTTTTAATCCTCAAAGAGTTCTGCACATCTGTTTGTCCGATGTTTGCGAGGGTAAATTCGAATGAGTCTCACCCTCACTTCTGTCTCGTTCCTTTGCAGGTGACGAGTCAGGTCGCTGCTTCACCATCGAGTACATCATGCCAATGAATGTCCAGCTGACGTCAGAGTCCACAGTGAACGTGCTCAGTAAGTACCAGCAGGACACACCGCCTCCAGCTGCAGCTTTAGGCAAAAAAAAGTAATCACAACTAGCACTTGTTTATATTAAAGGCTGGGGGCATTTTTCAGTCTGAGAACTTGTTTTCCAATAAGCTCATGTTCAGAAGTCTGAATGCAGTGAGACCACATACGTCTGACTCATCTGAACCCTCACGTCGCCGCCTGCTCCTCCCTGGAATACTTATTGCCTCTTCACAGACAGTCCTTCAGTAAAACTCAATGTCAAAACTTAACTGAAGGATAAATCACTCCATTTAGTCGATATAATGAGCTCCAGTGCAGCGCTCCATTTGGGGGAATTTTATTCTAGTTTTTTTATTTCAAGACTCATTGTTCTCCATCCTCTTTCTTCTGTGGTTCTCTAGTTTGAATGTAAAACTATTTTCTATCAAAGACGACAAATTAAAAAACTGCTGTATAATTAAAATAGATCAAAACAGGCCCTAATTTCCCTTTGTGATATTAAGATAATCTAAATGTAATTTTTTCCAATTTCCACATTAAAAGACTTTTATTCTGCTTTTTTTCTTATTTATAAGTATTTAGTATTTTTTTTCATATCTCAGCTTCTTTGGCTCGATCATTTGTTTAGTGTTTTTGTGGTTAAACAGCAGGCTCCTTCATCTGCTCTTTATCCTCCTCTTCAGAGATGATCCGTTCAGCCACTCCGTTCCCTCTGGTCAGCCTCTTCTTCATGTTCATCGGTTTTGTCCTCAACAACATCGGCCACGTCCGCCCTCACCGCACCATCCTGGCATTTGTCTCTGGAATCTTCTTTATCCTCTCAGGTAAGGCAACTCCTCCTTTCTCTGGATCATCTCCTGTCGTGTCTCCCTTTTACTTTTTTAACATCCAGTTTCTCTGTCCTCAGGTCTGGCTTTGGTGGTGGGCCTGGTGCTGTACATTTCCAGTATAAATGATGAAATGCTGAACAGGACGAAGAGCAGTGAGGCCTATTTTTCCTATAAGTACGGCTGGTCCTTTGCCTTTGCTGCCCTCTCCTTCCTGCTCACTGAGGTGAGAAGCTGAACATAAAAAAAGAAATGACTTTTACTGCTGTTTGGCACGGCTGTGGATGCAGCATCCGTCAGTTCACACGCTAAAAAACATTCAAGAAGAAACATGTTTATATGTTCATATGAATAAATCTAGATAACATAAAAACATTGAGCTCTCATTGCCACTGTGCACTTGTTGGCATGTGTGGTAGTAACAGGAAGGTAAATAGGAAGGATTTTATTTTGAAATCTCCTCCTTAAAATGACTGTGCTCATAGTATTGAGTGTTTACTGCCCTCCAGGGTTCACATTGAGGAAATACAGGATTACCTCAGGTAAACAGTTATTATGATATTATTATTAACATGCATGAATACAGATGTTTACAGTATTCATATACTAGTTATTCTAATGTACTACTGAATAGATAAAAAATGTAACTTTCAGTTATCCTGTATTCATTACTTATGTTTTTGTGTTTGCGTGTCATTCTGTCTGTAAACACAATGGCTCCAAAGTTTTAAATGAATTCATAGAGATGTAGATTGACTGATTTATTGGTCGAAAATTGACAAAAAGCCTTTTAACTTAAGTGTGGAATATGTTGTCAACATATAGAAAGTGCCATTTAAAGATTTAAAATATCACATTACATTTGACCTCTGACCTCTCCTTCAATGTCAATCAATTGATCTGAAGGTCAAAGTAATGAAAATGCTTTATAGAGCTTATTGAGGAGACAACAGGTTTTCAGACTGATGACAACATGTTAGCATTTTTGAGTACATGTTGTGTAATGTACATTACATTAATGTGTTACAAATGTTTAAATACATTCAACAAGTCAGCAATTTGAATACATGAACAATTTTATAATTGTTGGGTTTTTCATTTTTTGTGTTTGTATTAAAAAAGCACTACTCAAAATTGTGTCAAGTATATTAAAATAGGTTTCAGAAGGGAAAATAACAGCTTCTTAAACTATGTTTAAAAAGAACAAAGAAAACAAACTGAATATATACAAAATACAATGGCATTCCCTTCAAAGTAAAAGCTGCCCAGAGAGTGAGCTGCCTTGTTGGAGGTTTGGTTTCACTCTTGTTTTTGTTTGTTTAGTTTCTTTTTTGTGTTTATAGCTCATGAGCTCATCAGAGGTGAATCACAAATCATTAGAACATTTCATTTCCAGTTTGAGTGAATTTCTGTTCAAACAGTGTAAATATCATCTTATGAACAGCACCCTCAACAAGGTCACTGCTGAAAAGGCTGGCTGTTTGCACAGCGCTGTATCGAAGTGTGGTAATGCAAAGTCAACTGATTCGACACAAAATTCAAGCTGTTTGAAGTCCACTGTGAACTTTCTGCAGTCTGAGATGATTTGGGGTGTCGTGTAATCTGCTGGTCCGAAGTCCGAAGTCAATGTGGCCTTCTACCAGGAGGTTTTACCACGCTTCATGCTTCCATCTCCTGACAAGCTTTCAGGAGATGCCAATTTCCCTTTCCACCTGCTCACAGTGCCAAAACTACTACCAAATGATTTTCTGACCATATTATTACTGCGCTTGATTGGCCAGCCAGCTCACCTGACCTGAACCCCACAGAGCATCTTTCAAGAGGAAGATGAGAAATACCCGACCCCAAAATACAGACAAGCTGAGAGCTGCTATCAAAGAAACCTGGGCTCCAATAACACCTTAGCATAGCCACCAGACACCTCCACCTCCATGGCACGATGCACTGATGCAGTAATTCATGGTCCCAACCAAGTACTGAGTGTATAAATGGACATACTTCTCTCTGTCTTCTAATAATTTCAGATTGCTAATTACTGAATGTCTTAAGCTATAAGCCATAATGATCATATTGTTATTTATGAATAAACTGACTCTTCCTCACTGCAGAGCGCCGGCGTCATGTCAGTCTACCTGTTCATGAAGCGCTACGCAGCAGAGGAGCTCTACCAGCCCCGCCATCCCAGCTTCTACCGTCCTCGCCTCAGCAACTGCTCCGACCACTCTGGTCAGTTCCTCCACCCGGAGGCCTGGTCACGTGGACGGAGCCCCTCAGACATCTCGAGTGAAGCTTCCCTTCAGATGAGTACCAGCTACCCTGCTCTCCTCAAATGTCCTGACTATGATCAGGTGTCCTCTTCGCCCTGCTGAAGGGTGGTTAGTAACCTACCAGTTACTAAAGAGTCACCGAGGCATTGACAAAAGGCCAGAGTTTAAGATACAAGGTTGATATTTAAGTGTGAGTTTGCACCATTACGACCGTGGTCAAGTGATTTGGAAACCAGTTATTTTCAGCAAGTTGTTGTTTGTTTTTATGTTTTTTTTTTTATCAGGTCAGAAAAGATTTTGGGGAGTTTGTTGTTGTAGCAGACACGACTGCAAAATCTGCAGATTTTAGAAGAAAATGGTCATTGTGCCACTGCTTCTGCAAAGATCTCAAAAACATTTAAATATTTTTTTTTATTTTCATGTTCAGAAGGTCAAGTATAGATTACTTTGAACTGTATTTTTACTGTACCTGTGCTTTTTACTTTCCAGTGCCTCACAGCTGTTTCTTTGCTTCCTTTTGTGATTTAAATGAGTGTGCCATGTTTTAGGACCTTCTAGTGCTAGTATAGATCACATCAGTGCAATAACAATAATATCAGAAGGCACAATAATATCTGTGGTTGATGTTTCATTGGATGTGCAGTTTCAAAAGCACACATTTCGCTCAGAAGTTGCTCATGATCACAATCAGCAATACCTCTGCACTCAGAGCCAAACGAAAAAAAGAGTAGAATGTAAAATGTGTCCGGTCATTTGCAGTTTGTATTTCTACAGAGTTTCATTTACCTCACATTTGTGTTAAACTATGAGCATGTTATTGGTTACTGTTTGCTGCAAAAAACACTTGGCTGCCTTTATTTTCCCTTAAAACTGATCGAAAACAAGCCAGTAAAACTGCCTACCCAACTACTACACGTGAGGCTCCATCTCACAAAACCCTACAGACAAACGCTGTTGTGCAGTTGAAGGGCAGTTCATTCAGATGTGGTTCTAATTTTCAGTAATGTTGTCATTTGACACCTTCAAAGGCAGCAGGAAAACCGGATTGTCATCAAACTAAAGGCAACATATTCAAGACATTATGTTGAAATGCCTTTGACTCTTTATTTAGCCATACATTGACCCAGAATCTAACATGAAATCATAGATACTTGTTTTATATACACTGGTTTTTGTTTATATTTTTAGATATATATATATATATAATATGTCCAGATTACATGAATTCATGATGTTGTTCCTGGTGGAGCTGCTAGAGATCTTTGTTAAAAGGGCGTTGCATCTGTAAAATAAATGTCTGCCATACAGTTTTCTTTTTCCTTTTTCCTTTTTTACATTTTACCCTGTGATTCCATATTTATCCACTGGGAGGCAGTGTTTGTCCTTTTCTTTCCTCAGCTCATTTTTTTTTATCAGTGTGCAAATCTGCAAAAACAAAACCTGAAGTAACCTTTGTTATTTATGCACACTTCAAATCCAAATACAAACACTGACTACCTAAGCTTACGCAGTGACTAACTGAGTCAGTCTTTGTCATTTACAGTACTGTGCAAAAGTCTTGAGCCATCCCTGAATTCTTTAAAAATAGTTTGCTCCTAATTTTCTGAACGTCTTTCAGCATTTTCTTTGGACGTCGGCTGCTTTTTCACTCATTGTCAGTTCATTTCCTGATCGTTTCCTGATGATTTAATTTTGTTAAGTCGCTTAACTCTGACCCATCAATCATTCCAGCATAAAAAAGGCACCTAACTCAACGGATGACCTTGAGTTAGGGGCACTTTATTACTAACAGCCTGTAATAAAAACACACACTTTATCCATTTCTATAGTGAATGCAGTTATGCACCAACAAAGTGACTCCCAAAATGACTGTTAGCTGGAAACGGGGCATATTTCATTAACAGTATCTGAAAGGCATGTTCTATGAAATAGGAAATCAAAATTGGTCCCAGTGGATGGATGACTGTCAAGAAGCCATTCTTAAGGAAGGGAAACAGGGTTTTCTCCCTGAGGTACGAAATTAGAGTAACATTATTGAAGCAGTGTGGGATCATCGTGATGGAGGACAAAACAAGAACCATCCAACATCCAAAGAAGAGCTTTGAATGTCCTGCAAGAAGCCTGGAGAACTATTCCTGAAGACTACTTATAGAAATGACAAGAAAGTTTGCGTAACAGACTTCAGGCTGGTTGGAAAATAAAGGTCGTTGTACCAAGTATTAACTTTTAGGCTTGTTAGAATTGTACACAATCTGTCTTTGCCTTATAGACTGTATATACACGTGTGATGGTGCATCTTTCAATAAATCACTGCACCTATTTCACATTTTCCTTACAAAATATAGAGAAATGAGGGGCAGCTCAAGCCTGCTGCACAGTACTGTAACTGTGATGCCTCGCTCTGCTTTTCTAATAAACTGTGTTAAACCAAGTGTGTCCATCATTATGCTACCTGCTCAAATACAAGTTATAGCCACAGTTTTCCAAACCTGTCTAATAGTACAAAAGCACAATAACAACAATATAGCATTAACTATTTTTGACTGTCCGATTACTTTTGAGACTGTGAAAATAGGGAACTGTGTATAAAATGGACTGTAATTCCCAACCAGTTAATGCTCCACAAACACACAGTATTGCTTATGTGATTTAAGTATCACGGACATTTTCAGCATTAGCTCTCATTTCCATTAAGTCGTTTTTAGCATAATAACATTACGCTGCAATGAATGGAGTCACAAGCTGCACACTTTGTGTAGAATTTTTTTTCCCCCATGGATGATAATCAGCTGAGCACTGGGCCCATAATACTTTAATATACTATTTTAGTGACCTATTTATTAGGTACACAATCATTTATTAAGTATATACAGACTGCTTTTGAACTGGACTGTTTGTTTTGCACATTAACACAATTTGCACACACAATTTTACCTCCATAAAACATACCCGCATACAAAGTTGTCATTGTTACAGGCACTAGAAGTGCACAGGTGGGTCAAATTTGATTATGAAAGCTCCAAAATGCAGGAATAAAAGCTATCAACTTAAATGATGAGATGTGCTGTTACATAAGGAGAGCTATACAGGGCCATAGAAATACATCAACCCAGCAGCAGGACCAGCATCTGCTCTGCTAGAAGATTATCCTTGGGCTACTGAGGGGCATCTTTCTGACTAAACTATCAGAATCAGACTCCATGAGGGTGGCATGGGGGCCTGCTATACTTCAGTGGGACTTGTACTCGCAGCTTGACAGGCGGCACACCAGAACAGACACATCTGCCACTGATGGTCCACTCGTTTCATAAATTCAGTGGCAAGAGTGTGCAGGCATTTCCTGGATAAAGGAGGTACTAATGCCTCAGGAACCTCTGGGATGATATGTATCTGGGTATCCAAGGCGACCAAATAGAGCTAAAGCTCATCAATGCTTTCATCCAGGACAGGACGTCCCTACAGGACAACATGTTCAAACTTTGTCTAATCCTACCAGTTGTGACAAGAACACTAGCAAAAAGCAAAATTGGAAAATAATCAGTCAGGAGGGATAAGAAGAGAGTAATGATCTGTGACCACCACCTGTGAAACCTTTCCCTAGAGCTGAACACATCTGTATCCCAGAAGTTTATCTGGCTTTGTCTTACCGTGCTGACTAAATATTCCCTTATTTTATTTATTTGTCTTATGAATCTACTAAAGCTGTTATTATTTAATAGGGATGTTTTCCTTAGGTTTATTATGTAATGAGCCGCTTATATTCACATCATTGACATAAATGGTGTGTACAAAATAAGAGAAACCCAGTGAGCACTGTAATAATCAAACACTGAATCTACTGCAAGAAAGCTGTCGTTTTATTTAAAGGTAAATGTACCTAAAAACGTAAATCTCTGCACATAATAAAGCATAAAAATTTATTTCAGTATCTGTTTTACCACAGAAAACACTGAAGCGTATGACTTTTCATTTTGGTTGATGATTTTTTTTCTTTGAGAGAACAGCAGAAAAAAATAGTAAAATTAAAGATTCAGGTTTTTGTGCATATTTCTCTGAACAGCCTGTAGAGGGTGTTATTGCTTCACTTATTGTGCACGTTAACACACAAATCCAATAGGTCATCCTTCACCTTTCCCTACTTCCTGTTAATTTACCACGTGTTCGCCAGGATGCAGGTATACATCACTGCTCCCCATCATGGAGGATGACCTCCGCATTCACAAAAACAAAAACAGCTCATCGTGCTCTAAGCAGCCTGAGTGCTTCATTAATAACAGCTCATTATTTATGTGAACAAGTAGGTCAGGACCGGCATTAATAATGAACACACCACAAATCTGCTTTATGTATACTTTATGTAGATACACGTAATGTACAACGTGACCAATAGCTTTTACAGAGAATATAAAAGTTAATGTAACTATAAGCCCACACAGGGCAGTAGAAGATAATATCATGCCCTGACCACAAGGCTTTCACTGTATTTTACAATTATATAGAAAACTACTGGTGTTTTTGACATCATCATCATCAATTATATAATCACCATCACCGATATTACTTTAGTATAATCATCATCATATTCACCATAATCTTCATCATCATCATCATCATAAATACAACCACCTTTCTCACTCAGTCATGGCTTTTTAACGGCGTTGTCAGTTATTTATCCAATATTCATCATCCCCATATATTTTATAATGATTATGTTTAAGGCTTTTGCAAAGAAGACCTCAAACTTCAGCTGATGCAAACTGCCAGTCGGCTCAAACATGGTTACACACAGAGTTTGTGCATACTACAACAAAGAGACCAGAAAGCTATACATTGTATATACAAACATAACTTAGGCATACACTGCTGAACATTTACAGGTAGTATTAAACCATTTCACAAATGAAAATAAATACAAAAATGATAGCTGGTTATTAGATATAGAAATGTTCAAAGAGAAGAAACACAAAGGCAAGCAAGGATCTTTAGGAGTACGAACCAAATGCAAACAGGATCACGACAACACACCGACCTTCACTCACATAGGCCATAGATAAGGGAAAGGAAAAAAAGAAGCTTAATTGGACTGGTACCTAACTGGGCTTCTGCACAGCCAAAAATAAAACCCACTCAGTAGAAAGACTTTCTCAAATGAAAGCGCTCTGAAAGTTCTAATCCTTAAGATGTCAATGAAATGAGATCCTGGTTTGACAGCTGCCAACAAATGTTATCCTGCTACTGTTTCATGTTAAAAGCATTTAAAAAGAGGGCTTTTATTGTGAAGCAGTCATAGGTACATAATATATTTCTCACTAAGATTAAGGCTGATGGAAATGGGTTACCCCATATTACATATGTAAATTATTTAAATAGTATATTTGCTATTTTTAAAAAAATAATTCGATTAAAGGTGAGGAAAGGTGTGAAAAAGTCTAGTTGTAATCAAAGTCAAAACACTGTAAACAGCAGACAGTGCTGTAGTTCAAACATTCACTTCTCGAGCTGAAGATGCTTGGGTCGATCTGCAGAGGAAGTGCAAACGTGTGGGAGCTACCTGCTCTGGCGACCCCTCGTAAGGGAGCAGATGTTCAAAATGTGTGACAGGATACCGTCAAACCAGAGGTGCTGAAATCTTAAGGATTGCAACTTTAAGTCCACAAAGAGAGTTGAATTTGAAACTTTAGCAAAAGCGCCACTGCTACTCAACTAAAGTAAGAAAGGATGCACGTTACAAAATTCTCTGCTCCACACAGATAAATGAAATCAGTCCAGCTGACTGTAAAGAACCTAAATCTAAGCCATCTTTTTGTTGTTGTTGTTGATGTCCTCTGAGGTTACTCTTCAGCCGTGGCACCTTGAGAGAAGAATTCAGCACCAGAGTGAGATGACGACGTGGTCCAGGTGAGGTTGCACTGCGGTCATAACCACGTCCCAAACGTGTCCGTCCATCCCCTCATCCCACCTCCCCCCTTCTCCAGCAGTCACCCTTACATTTTGCGCACCGTGTCAATGACCACACATCTGAACTGATTCTGAATAACAACTTTTTTCATAAAGCACAATGGAGGGAACACTTGCATCACTTATGCACCCATACTGTAGATGCGGTATGCACCGATAGCATGCACACTGCTGCATACACACAAATACAAACATATTGGTCTACAATAACCCACATGCATGCATGTGCACCTGAAACATGGCAGTTGGGCTTTAGGGAAACCTATAAACATCTTATAAGCATGACTGGGGAGGTAGGGGGGTGTATATGAGATGGAGGAGAAACAAACTGGCTGGAGCGCTGCTTTCTCCCCAGCAAGTGTGTGATGTCTCCCCAGCAAGTGCATACAACTTGTGGAGAGTCCAGGAAAGAAACCAAAGTCTGCCTTCGGGGTTGAAGTCAGCTCTGTGCTCTTCAGTCCAGCTTTGCAGTGTGTGTGGTTTATGAATGCATGAACTTAAGGAGATAAAGATGGAGGGGGTTTGGAGGTTCACCTGATTGTCCCTCTTCATTTCTTGTTGGCGATGCGTCTCTTCCTGGTGGCCAGCATGTCGTAGAAAGGATCTCTGCTAATGCTTGCCCTAGAGAAGCCAATCAGAGGACAGCGATGAAATAAATAAGAAGGCCACATGAGAGGAGGGTCTCAAACATCTTTGATATGGAAATGCAGGCACATTTATACAAACGCATGCTTTAACTAGATCAGAAAAAGAAAAAAAAAAAAAGTTAGTGGAGTGACCTAGTTAGGTTTCCATGGTTTCTGAAGAGGGACCCCCTCTCCTATTTTTTGTTTGTTGTCTTTTTTTTTGGATAGTCTGGTTTGCTGGAACCTTGCACTGATTCCCTCCTCCAGAACCCGGCCAAGAACGTAGCGAACCATGCAGTCGCACACGCTCTCTTCCTCTTGCTGCAGGTTTATAGGTCTGAAGGAGGGCAAACAACAGTCCTGCTTATAGACTCTTCTGCTTAGTTTGGGGGGGGGGGGGGGGGGGGAGTAAAGGCAGCCTACAAAGGCAGCAAGTGAGTCAGGAAGCCATTTGGGCTCTACCAAAAAGCTCAGTTTCACGGCTGCTAAATCCTGTTAGCACCAGCACAAAGCAAGAAGAGGCTCAACCCCCCACTGCGGATATCTCTGATTCCCTTTATAACGCCACACGCTAAAGAATGAGTGTGTGTAAGATGACTATCCTCTTTCATACTCCTCATTGTTGTGTTCTACAACCCAATTTTGTGAAACAATAACTCCACTGTGGAGAAATCAAATCAGAGCGCGGCTGCCACAGCTAAAAACCTTCTCCACCATTTTTCAGTCCTGGAAAT